CAGAAAAAGCAAATGTGAGAGATACAGTTTATTTTTAGAAAAATCAGTGAGCATGGGAATGTAATTATTAAAGAAATGTAAGGAAATGATTTTCAATATGTATCTTCCTGCTCCTCTAAAAACATTTATTATCAAATTATAGCATTATGGAGTAACTTTTTTTTTGCAATTCTCAAATAAGAGAAGATAGGTATTAAAGATGAAGTACACAGCTAGAATTGGCCTCTAGGCACACTTTTTCCCTAATAGTTTAAGATTCTTATGGGCACAGAGAGACAGCACTAGAAAGACCTGTGCTTTTTGTCCAGTTTTCAGAGTAGTATTGATTGCCTAACTGCCTGTTTGGTTCTGGGGATCCACCAGCAGTAAAGCTTTTTGAGTTTTCACAAAATTAAAGAATCAGAAGAATGTATTTAGCTACTTTCTTCCCATTTTATTAATCATTAGGATGTACTTGTGGTATCCATGAGAAATGGTGGAGAAGGGCAGTCAGGGACTATCTGCACAATTTTTCATACCTAAAGTACTCTGCAGGGAATCCTGCATGTAGTAGGTAGACAATAAACAGTTGTGAACATCTCTAAGCTTTACATTACTGTGTTCCTTGAGTTTCCTATAGCAAGATAAACTCCACACATTTTCAAAAACTCTAGTCATATGCACTTCCCACGCCTAAATAAACTGAGGAGATAACATATAAACAGTGTCCGCTGGATGGAGTTGCTTTTGCAATTTTCTTAACTGGAAGAGATTCAATGCACATTTTCCCCTTTGTGGTAGTTGTAGTTTTCTTGGCAAGTTTTCATTAAAAAAAAAGGTGAGACAACCTTAAGAACAGAATTTTAGTATCACATTAATGAGACTTCCATCTTTTAAAAAAGATAGTATGGTCTGCTTAACAATGTCCTATATCTGCTGAGATGGCCTGCTCAGAACAAACTCTCACCCATCCACCTTGCGGTCTCAAGTGACCAAACACACCGTTCTTTAAAAAAGTCACTCATGTGATGCAATTAAGTTTCTGGGAAGTAGCAAAACTGAGTAAAGAACAATATTATCAGATGTTAGGCAGCTTAACGACTTGTATACAATGGAAATTAAGCTATTCAGGGATTGACAGCCAAAGAGGAAAGTTGTTTGACCTCTGCTACCCAGAGCTATCTCCACTACCCAGATTCTGTGTTCTTTTTGTAGATCCTATCATTTTCCTTTTGTTACTCCTAAAATTCACTGCAGCCAAGTGGTCTGTTTTTCCAGGGAAGGTTTGTGACATTCTTCCCAGACTGGCTGCAGAGACAGAGTCTCCCAAGGGACTGGGCTCCTTGAGTATGCTGTCACCGGGTCCATGGTTTTAATTAGGCTGAGGAACACCTTTAATTAATGTGGGCCAACAGAGTCAACTTATGACTTAGGAATCTTTTTCCTGGTGGAAGCTGAATTTTCTCTTCTTCATGATTGATCCTATTGATGCTCACAGATGTTTTTCAAATGTAGCTCTTTATATAAAGTTTGGTGCCTTTTTACTACAATCACATAATTCTTTGGAAGATAGGATCCACAGTATTGATAGTATTCAGTGTGAGAATGTACAATATACTGTTTTGGTGGCCAGCTTTATAGGTAGCACACTCTTAAATATATGCATCTAATTATTTTATTTTATTCTTCCTAAATTTTGAAAATTAGGTCATTCCAATGAAGTTTTCATATGTAAAGCACTCCATTAATGATATTTTAATTGCAGGATTTATTAGAAGTATTCTGAGATGTGTCTGTACATAGTTATCTGTGAGGGACTGGTTACAGGACCCCTTCAGATATCAGAATCTGCAGGTGCTCAAGTCTCCTATGTTAAATGGCATAGTATTTGTCTATAGCAATGGCGAACCTTTTAGAGCTTTCAGTGATAACAACCAACAGCCGGCTGCAGCACTTGTGCCATAGGTTTGCCACCATGGGTATATACCCTATGCACATCCTCCTGTATATTTTATCATTAGATTATTTATGATACCAAACATAATGTAAAGGCAATAAATTGTTGTTGTAAATAGTTGCAAGTGGTTGTTGAGGGAATAATTACAAAAAAAGTACGTATTCAGAACAGACACAATTTTTTCCAAATATTTTTGATCTGTTGGTTGAATATACAGATACAGAGGGTTGATTGTATACATGTATCTGTAGGTAGTATATATGTGAATATATAAAATCTATGTATGTATTAAATACATGTGTATAGTTCATATATATAAATATGGATATATACATATTTTATACGTATGTACTATATATCATATGTTTCAATGTATATGTATATGCATTATAAATTGGCTCCATGAACCTTTGGGGGATATATGGATGGGCTTTGAGGAAATCTCCAATTCCCTGAAGCTCTATTTACAAAAATTACATTTTTGTATCTGTGTACATTTTGTTGTTGAAAAGTAATCCGTAACTTCCACTTGTTTCTCAAAATAGTCTCTGTTCACCCACCCAGTGCCAAAACTAAAAGAATAGAGCTTAGGAACCCTGGTCTAGGATCTACTGTCTAATACTATAGCCACGGGGCTGGGGATTTAGCTCAGCGGCAAAAGCGCCTGCCTGGCAAGTGCAAGGTCGTGAGTTCGGTTCCCGGTACCGGAAAAAAAAGAAAAATACTACAGCCACTAGCCACTAATGGCTATTGATCACTTGAAATTTGGCAAGTGTGAGGTGAGATATGCTCTACGTATAAAATGCACACTGGATTTAGAAGACAATATGGAAAGAACATAAACTATCTCAATCAGTGGTTTGTACATTGATTACATATTATATAATATGGGGGAGATATATATATATATACAGTTAAATAAAATATATCATTAGTATTGACTATACTTGCTTCTTTTTGGTTTTGTTAGTCAGCTACTAAAAATTTTAAAATTACTTACATGGCCCACACTATATTTCCATTGGGTAACTTTTCTGTTTAGGAAATGCTAAACCTCTATCACAGGCTGGTTGCTGATTCTAGGAAGTTTCTCCTAGCAAAAAGGATTTTATAATAGTTCCACTGGATTATATGAGAGGTTTTAGCAAAAATGTCAGACTTTATCTAAACAAACAGTATAAGACCACAGTTTCAAACTATTTTCATCCAAGCAGCTCAACATAATTTCCTTCCGAATCATGAGTTCGTAAGAACAGTCTGGTGTCAGCTCTGAACCCCAGCCGCCCATATTTGCAGGTAATTCATACGGGCCACTTTGATAAGACTCCTGGGACAATAATGACTCAAAGCAAACTTTTACTTTTAGCATATCAATAAAATGGTACAATAAAAAACATAGAAAATGTAGAAAATATCCATGAAGAAATATCTCAAGGAGAAATTAGAACTCCTTATTATTAAAAGTGTACATATACATCATGATAAATGGACCTAGTTGTTACCCTTTTCGACAGATGTGAAAACAGTTTCAAAAAGTTGACTCATTATCATTTGAGAACACAGTGCTACTCTCCTCTGTACCTGAGGCTGGCGCACTGCTTGACACAAAGTGGATGTTCAATAAATGCTCATTATCAGATCAGTACCAAGGTTCCTGATTCCAACACAAAGTTTCTACCTCCAAAGAGTGCCTGATCCCTACACCTTTGCTTCTCCCGGTACCACATGCTGAGAGAGGCGTACCTAATGTTTTGATTCTCATCGTAAATCAATGGGACATAAATATTTTGTCTCTCCACCAACAAAACTTTTGTGTCTTTCTTTTTGGAAAGCAATCCAATGTTAAGTCATGCTTCCTGGTTTCAAAACAGTGCAAGTGCCAGCTTGACTGGTTATCACAGCTAATTGTCAGGAAAGACATTAAATGCACTAAACAAATGGAACATTTTCTCTGCTCACGCAAAGTAATGGAATAAGAGCATCGATATCCCCTGCCCTGAGGGGCAGCGACAGCTCCTGCTCCATCCGCCTCGCAAGCATCCTATGAGTCTGGGGCACCTGCTCTCCCAGCAACCCGGAGGACCTAGGGTGGCAGCTCTCACAACACAGGAGGCCGGCTCTCTAGCCTCTCCGAAGCCTAACCCGCGGGTCTGCGAGGGTGTCGCGCCCGGTGCCCACGCCTTGCCCTCCAACTCCCCGGCAGCGTTTAGTGCGCGTGCCCTGAAGAGCTAAGCAAAGCAAACGCACTCCCGTCCCAGCCCTGCCCTGGCCGGGCGCTGCTGTTTACCGTCTTGTACCACCAGCTTGCGAACGCCATGGCGACGACCGGCTTGTTCCGAGCGGTGCCGCGGAGGAGCTGCGAGGGCGCGAGGCGCTGTGCTGTGCTGTGCACGCCAGGCTCGCCCTGCGGCAGGCTGGGACCCGGCTGGCATCCGGCGGGCATTGAGCCCGCGCTGGGTGGGCGGGCGCGGGGGAGGAGCCTAGGCCCCGCCCCGCCCCGGCCCCGCCCCTCCCGGTCTGGCTGCGGGCCGGGTGGGAAGAGGTGTCATTCCTGCCCGCAGCCGCGCCCTGCGGAAGGCAGGAGCCCGCCGTGTCAGGGACCGACCCCTTGCACTTCGGGATGCTGAGTGCACCCGAGTCTCCTTCACGTCCACCTTCCTGTCCCCCCGCCTCACGCGCCAACTTTGCACTGCGCGCCCCGCTCTCGGCCCGCGCAGCGCCCAATGCAGACGCGAGAACCTCCAGCAGCTTTCTGCCACCTGCCTGGCAGGGCGCGGAGCACCGGGCGCTTCCCCGGCGGGCGCTGGGGCGCGGGGT